AACTGAGCTCTCGAGGTAACTTTGGCAATATATGGTCAGCATAGCGTGCATGTTCATTAATTCCCAACTTACGTACCAACAATCGAGTCTTCCACGCGTCGTCTTGGTTACAGAATTCTATTCTAAATGTATCTTCCCAACGTTTGAACCACGTGAGAAAAGTATTTCCGCTTTCGGGATCATAGATGAATTCTGGTATGCTGCTAGCAACTGCATCACAAGACGTACTTGAAATGGCATGTGAACTCGAGCAGTGGAAGCTAAGCTGTTGAGTCAGAGTCTCTAACAACCGCATTTGTGCATCTAATTGTTGTTGCTGTTGTTGTAGTATTCGGTTAAGCTGGTCATCTGATATGGACATATTGAATTTATTTTCCTTTTCCCCGTCGCCACTGTTATGTTTTCGCTCTTACGGTTATAACCCAGCTATTCCTATCGCTTAGTATTCACGGACACAGATTCACTCGACAAGGTCCCAAATCAGAACACGATTGAGCAGGAAGGAGATTATATTCCAAATAACAAGGTTAGGTGGAAGCAAGAAGCAAAATAGGAAAACCGTTAGTATATTTATAGCTTTTTTACATAAGAAGAGTCTAGGAGCTTCTCCATGTATAGACTAGCGCTGATTGGATAAGAATCAGCCAATCAGCGTGCGCCAAAGCAATCGTGCATTGAGCATGCTTAAATCCAATCTATGTCCCACTAACAGCACCAAATACAGATGCGCCACACAATAACAATGAGGCCATTGTAGTTATCACTTATTCATGTGAGGGCTGGAATACTGCCCGGGTGCTCAAACAGAAGCAGGAGGTTTTCCTAGGGGGCTACATCTCGAGCCTTTGACCTGGAGGTATAACCCACAAGGCAGTGGAGCGACTTGAGGAGACTCCCGTGGTAGTCGGTGACCAACAATAGGTTCATATGCCATTTGTTTCTCAGGATTATGGAGTCCATGTACACCATTGGTTTGGAATCAGGGTTTTCCAACTCCTGTAGGTGGATCTGTCATACCCACCAACTCAGTCGAAGCACCGTATATTCTCTTTCCGCCCTCTCAATTTCGTAAACAACACCCCCGCTGTCAGAAGTCATCGAGTAGGACTGTGGCTGTATACTGTTGTGTCCCGATAAGCATAATGAATGGTAAATTTTGGGATTCATTCATGGACTAATACTATGCGTATATTTTTATCGTATAATTGTTAAATAACTAAACTATGCATATTCATGTCCCTCTTATTATGAGCTTTATTTCGACCTATGAACTATTATTATACGATTTACCATTCTTGAATTATGCCCTGTCTATTAATTACTACCTCCCACACTCACAGCCACTTCTGGCTAAATCTTGTACAAATGTTTTTCCTATTTTGTGGTACGATGTGGTCTGTCTGGTTGGTATATTAACCTAGTATGCTTGAAATAAATGATTCATATCGCAGAGGCTGGTATTGGTGTTCTGGACTTAACTTACTGGGCTAGGCAGGAAGCAGGGCCAATAAGGACTTTAGACCGTTTTTCGGATATCATTCCACACTGCCTCGGGGTGGGCATCACATACATAGCTGCCTAACTTTTTTTCTAGTTGTTCCTGAAATATACTCTTAGCTTGACTATAATTAAGTAGGGCCCTAAGAGGTTTCCTCGCAGCGTCTTTCCTACGTCCAGTAAGGCGTAGACAAATATGCGCTCGCACTAGAGCATGATCTGAGTCTAAGCATTTGCTCCAGAATGAGCGACAGTCTTCTATCGAGCCCCTCCATCAGTGGCTGATAGCGATGTGATCTATTTGGGTCCAGCGTTGGGACGAATTAGGGAATCGCCACGTCAAAAGATGTTTTTCCTTATGCTTAAAGTTAGTATTTGCAAGAAACAGGCGGTTATCTGAGCATAGCTGCAACAGACGGTCACCGTTATCTGTTCTTTGAGCCGCGACACCATGAGATCCACCCAGGTGTCTTTCCCTTTCGCATACTTTACCTACTTGAGCATTAAAGTCACCAGCCACTATTACTACAACAGAGAGCCTAGCTTTTCGGAGAAGGTCGGAAAGCTTTCTGTAAAACTCATCTTTTGGCTCACCTGAGCTTCAGTCAGTGGGAGAGTAGGCAGAGACGACGAAGAGGCAACGACGAGTGTCCCTATCTTTTCGAGTCCTTACTGTTCCGTTTAGTCGGACAGCGCACAAATGACACTCTACTGGGACCCAGTCTAAGAGAGCTAGTTCTGCCCTACGACTCAATGCTATACATACGCCAACGAGGCCACGGAAAGCAGCATCAGGGCTTCCAGATAGACGGAGCGTAAATTTAGTTGGTTCGTTACTTTGACATGGTGCAGTCAAATGAATGACACTACTCGGATCCTGTATGCGCGTTTCGGAGACGCAGCACACATTGATGGTGCGAGATTCTAAAGTCCTAGCTAAGGAAGCCTATTGTCCTATTTGGCACAGTGTTCGAACGTTAAAAGCTCCTACATGTAGTTTAGGGCGTGGTTTCAGGAAGCCAGAAATAACGTTCCGAGTACTCGAATCGTTTGTATTAGCGGCGCCAGGTGATAAAGAAACGCGAGAAAGGTTAGTCGGGGAGATAAGAGAGTTATTAGGAGGCGTAGGAAGTATCTGACTGTAACCAACTTGGTCTCGTGTGCTGTTACGGGTATGAGGGCTGATGTCACTTTACGGCTGCCCACACCGTGGAAGGGTATTTCTTGATGAACCTGAGAAGGAAGTAGGGTTAGTATCGGTCTTAACGAATTAGGAGCCCAAAGGAACAATTGCTTGAGATCGGTCGCGCAAGGCTTTTTTGTATGAAGTTTTTAACCTGTTAGCTCCGTTCTTCACAAGGCCATACCGCCGTAGACGAAAGTCCGTGAGGTAAGGTGAGGTGTGACATTCTTAAGGTCGACCTTTTCTAAGCCCACCCCTCCTTGTGAGAAGGCAGCATCGCTGCAGATGCTGGTTGCCCGAGAGAAACACCTTACTGTTGTCACACCCCTCTATAGTCAGCAGTACGACTTCGCCCTCAGACCTTGAGTTGCTGCTTTTAGTCTTACCGTTCTCCAATCGACCTGCCTGACATGGTAGAACCTACAGAAACATATGCCCCCAAATGCCCTGGTACGGCCGAAAGTGGGAAGAGTCCGCTCTGCCTCTCGAAATGCTCTCATATGGCCACGCGTATACAGCCCCTGCCAGGGAAGTCCTACTCAGTGCCTTCTCGTGGCGGGGGTGTTGTTTACAAAAATGAGAGGACGAAAAGCGAATGTCCGGCGCTTTAACCGGATCCCAAACCAATGGTGCACATGGACTCCAGTATCCTGCGGGAACAAATGGCGTATGAACTAATCGTTGGTCACCGGCTACCATGGGACTGCATCTCCTCACGATGCTCCACTGCCTTGTGGATCAGATCTTCAGGTCAAAGGCTCGGGGTGTGGCCCCCTAAGAAAACCACCTGCTTCGGTTTGGGCACCCGGGCAGTATCACAGCCCTCACACAAATCAATTGAGATCTGTGTGGCGCATATGTATTTGGTGCCTTCTTGTACCGATATCTATGTGTTAAAATAAATATAATATAATAATACAGAAACATATGTTCCAGCCAATATAGCTCGGTTTGGTCATCACGAAAGGCAAGCTCGACCACCACGTCAAAGTAGCAGCTACGGTCGGAATAAACTGAAGGTAGAACTTGTGAGTAAGTTGTCAGTTTATCGTGTTAAAGATCTCTGCCGAATTTATAGTTAATTATATTTCTTGCTCCAAGTAAATTATGCGTATAAATCAATTCTATAACACATGGCTTACGTACGAAGGATAAGCTTTTTGTCCTCAGCTTTAAGTAATCATGCAACGCCTTACCAATTCGAATTTATTTTATTTTTGGCATCATATTAGTTCCCACGTTGGACATTTTTATACAAACTCCTAGGCTAATTGGAAAGTAAGTTTTATTTTATAGTGTAGTGTGTGCTACTAATGTAGGCAGATATAAGTAGTATGTATCAGGAGTTGAAATTGGAATTCGTATGGTCAGAAGAGGGAAATGAGAAGAAGAAAAAGGAGAACAAAAACAGTCTAAGTAGCAACAAGAATAAAAGAATGATGGAGCTTGTAAGCGATATGCAAATGATGTTTTCTTATTTTATATATGCAATGTGTGATTTCGCATAATACACTAAGTTGCGTTACCCTATCCAAGTCTTCGCTCATTAGAGTAAAACTGCCGTAATATTATTAAGGGCATTATCCCATTTTAGTACTCTTCAATATGTCCAGTCAGATTAATCCAGCGTAAATGTGTGAAATTTTTAATACTATGACTTTTAGTGGTAATCATCATTCTCATTGTTCTTATTTTTCATATGAACATATTAAAACAAGCTAAAATGTCACGAGGACTTTATTTAGTTTGTCTTCACTTAGTTTCAACATTTTTTCTCTGACTGATAAGATTGCTTTTTTCCGTATTGCTTTCATTGCATAATGTTCAACCTTTACTAATTGTGTATTGTAGAAAATTTTGTTATGTGACATAATTAATGTTAACAACATACTATGATTTGTTATTTTTCTTTTATCGTCAATTTTGTATTTGTAGATAAACTACAAAACTAGATGTTTAACCCAACTAATTTAATCTTGCTTGTTCACATATGAACATATCTTAAAATTAATTGGTTATTTGTAAGAGTTTAAATCTTCCCTTTGTTAATATTAAAGATAACATTTAATCAGTCTGTGTTTGCAGTCAAGTAAAATTGTAGCTAGTAATGGAAAACAGGATGCAAATTTCGTCCTATTTGAGACTCGGCGTTTGAAGTAATAGGTACTAACTTTCAATATGTGTGAACACAAACACTCGGATGTAGACACATCCAACTGATGAGTCCCAGATAGGGCGAAACCCACTCCTCGGGTTTTATTGCTAGCCAAAACCCAGGTTTGTTAATATTTTATATTCCCTTTGGTTTACTTTGTTCCAGTGAATGTATGACACCGAAATTGCGTCGTTTTGCTGGGGATGCGAAAAACTATTCTCCAAGAGCACGTTTTCGTCGGGCCATGGGGTATGTACTGTTTTTGTGAACAACTTTAGGTGATTTTCATAACCAGTATTTACTGCTCAAGATATGAAGTACACTGTTTACACCTGGTAAATGAACGAAAGATAAGAATTAGTAAAGAAAGTTTTTAAATATTCAGACATTCAGAGATAGTTTTGCATCAACCTAAAAGCTAATAAATCCAAAAAGCAACTGATAATTGGTTTACGAATGAAGTCATGCTTTGGCTAGGGTCGTTGGCTTAGCGGTAAAGAATTTCAACATCGCACCACTAAGTACCACATTCATACCTGTTCCTATCTACTTTGGTTTAGGCAACTGGATAGTATCATTACCCCTCACATTTATAGGTTAATAATAAGCACACAAATCTGTACTATATTTAAAAAAGTCTTTTTAGGTTACAAGTATCATTATAAGGGTTTTTGGTGGTGAGTTACTTTTGGACTGTTAAAATGGGGACAGTAAAATACTAATAACTCTTTACGCTGCTCAACTTATCAATGTACGATTTCCGAAAACGATAAACTGTTTATCAAAGGACAACACAAACTCCATGAGACTAAGTTTTTAATATAATTATCAAATAGCATGTTGATGCACAAAGTATTCTGAGGCAGAGGTAAACATAACAAAAAGGGTCATTTGACATGTAGGTTATTGAAAAATACTAGTTTCATAGGTCATTCTCATGCTAATGAAATTAAAACTTGACTTTTAGGTTTTATTCTTGGTCTTCATGTCAAAAATTTAGATAAATTCTTTAGTTAGCTTTGTTCGAATGGTAGTTATTTTCAAGACGTTATTTTCGACAGTAATTTTGCTATATATCTTTGAATCAGGGAGTTTACCGTTGTCGTTTAACCTCGATGTCATTATATAAAACAGTATCACTGTCTTAACCAGTCGAGCTGGCTTAATGATTAATACGTCCGACTCTAAACCAGGTCCGAACCCTACTCCACGTACTCCAGTTTAGTCAACTGGGTTGTATCATATACCCTTACACTTAGAGTGTTGCTCATACACAAGTGCCTGGTGAGTGAGCTGATTAAATAATCTTAACTAAATAATACTTTTATATTCTGGGTTCGACTTCTGTTTTTGTTATACGACACTATGATTGTTCTCCAGTAGCTGATCCTGTTTTGCAAAAGAGCTGATTTATGTTATCATATAAGCTCTTATAAGAGTTTGAATTTATTTCACTAGATCACACTCTTTGAATAACATCTTCGAACCCTAATCTTTCCTATTACTGTTTATACTTTTACTACATCTACCACTTCGAGATTTGAATCGACAATTGTATCTCTGTGCTAATATGGTATGGCAACTCGAACTGATGTTCGTACGTACGAAGTTCTTCGTTGTCGCTGACTGACTGGAATTTATTATAGTGTTTCAGGAGGCAGTCAATCACTACACAAGTCAATGTCATCTCTAATTTTTTGAGATTGTTTTCAATTCACACTTTTATCATCTTTTTACTACATGTCTGATGTTTAATGAATGGACATAAATATTCTGAATGTCAATTGACAGAATTCGAAAGATTTTTTGTACGATGCTTACACTGTGAGTTACTAAGGTCACAATCAACATTTCTTTTTTAACTCTTAATCTAACTCAGTGAAGATAAATGTTCCAATGCAGTTAGAGTAGTTTGAACTACATAAGCAAGTTGAAACAGTGAATGGAGTTTGTTGTTAGTAACCCTAAGCTTGGATTTTTAATATTTTTTTCTTAAAATTGTTCTGATAGTTATATGTAGGGAAAACTAAAACATAAACATGTTTGTCATCTACTTTTTCAGTTATGAGTTGCCTTTCGATCGTCATGATTGGGTGGTCGATCGATGCGGTAAAGAAGTACGTTATGTAATTGATTATTATGATGGAGGTTCTGTAAATGAAGCATATCAGTTCGCTATTCTGGATGTACGACCTGCATTAGATTCATTTGGCGCATTTTGGGATCGTGCTCTAGTTGCATGGATGCGTTTCAGGACTCCTGATCCGCCGAAAAAAATCCATTTGAGTGATCCAACATTTCCGAAAAAGAATGAAGTGTCTTGAGTATTACACTCCTATTTAACTCACTTAACTCGATGCTATGAATTTGTATAGCCGGCAAAAATATTTAGTTTAGTTATCATTCGAACTAACTCGAAAGTACCCTTACTGTAAGTGCACACAAGATAGCTGTGAATGCAAAATTCACTTGTATATTACTTAATGAAATACAATGTTCTGATAATTACATTCTTTGTCGATTTTTTTGGAATCCTTTAGGCACACATTTCCTCGAACCTGAACAATGTGTGTAATTGAACTACAAACTCTGAAAGATGATATGAATTTAACAGTAATAAAGTCTGGGTTGTTACAGTCAAACAGCTCACATCTCTAGTACTAGATCTCAATTCCTGTTCACTGGTTTGTTATGAAACACTTTGTTTCATACATAAAGGAAGCAGTCATAAATATTAACCAGCAACCTCAAGAGTTATTTGGTCGTGAGCGCATAGTAACCTACGTATCTGTCATTTCCTGACATACTGAAACCTTGATAATTCACTAATTCTCTTCATGGAGCACTGTCGTGGTGGTTACAACAATTGACTATAAATCATTGAGGCACAGTTTCAAACCTCATTTCACCTATTTCCGTTTGGGTAACCGACTAGTATTATTATTAGCATTATTAATGGCTTTATCCAATATTATATTTTGGTACAATATAGAATTCTCAGCACAAGGTATTTCAACATGTTTATTTTACAAAAAAACAACAAAAAAGAAAGGAAAAAGGTGGAAAAATCTGAAACTGTACAACTTTCCAAATTAGAAATATGTTTAAGAATACAGGTTATTGACTAGGTTAACTCTAACAACCTGTTTGTCACAGAGTCTATTTGCTAGGTAAGGCATTATGCTTTTGCTCGAGTGCATGGATTTTAATGTAATTACGTCTCGTTCTACCAGAAAATATACAAGAAGGAAGATATGAGTGAAGGGGATGGTTACTATCTGATAAGATAACACCTGCCAGGAGTTTGCATGACTTGAGATGTCTATCCACAACCGTATTAATTATGACCTCGGAAGATTCATCACACCTTGCTAACTTCCTTCGGCACTCTCCGCAATACAGCAAAGTCTTTTCTCAAAAGCCCGTTAAAGAATAATAGAGAACAGTAAAGAATAATGGGCAATATGCAGTTGACAAATTGTAAGAGTAAATGACGAGTAACCCCAAAAGCATGGTCTCTTTATGCAGTAAATCAGACGGAAAACTTTCTTCGATAACAGTAAAACATGAGAAGACCGAGAGAGATCAGAGAAAAAGGTAACACCAAGATAATTGACCGTCGACACTGTATTTATCAATGAGTCTCCAATGGCACAAGCATCATGGGATCTCAAAATGGTGTTTAAATGCCGATCATGTCTCATGCTAAAGTTAACAGCTTGACATTTAGACAGATTAAGTAGGAGACCATTAACAACAGACCAACTATCAATGCGAGATAAAAATTCATTCATTTCTATAGGATGTAAAGAGTAAGAGATAGGCATACAAACGGTGAGATCATCTGCATATTTCACAAAAGTGTTTATTGTGGAAGATGGCAGATCATGCAGAAAAAAAGAGGTGAGAGAACAGCCCCTTGTGGTACACCTTCATAAGACACTAGAGACTCTGAACACTTTCCTCCAAACACTGTGTACTGTTCCCTTCCAGAGAGGTAGGAACATAGCTAGTTGGTTATCCATCTGTCAGTGTTGACGCTGATTAACTTGTTAAGTAAACGTTGTTTTGGTATAGAATAAAAAGCCAAAGTATAGGCCAGAAAAGCGCATCGAACATACTTCTTACCCTTTTCCAAACTGAACACTATATTGTGATGCAGAACAGCAACGGCATCTAAGGTGCTTCTTTTGGATCTGTAAGCAAACTGATACGGATCAGCGTGCTCTTTTATCGCAGGTTGAAGTGGAACTATCAATAATCTTTCCATTGTTTTGAGGAAAGGTGAAGTTATTGCTATGAGTCTAAATTCCACATTCTTATCACCAGATACTTTCTTAGGTATAGGGATTATTTTTATCTTTCTCCACATTTTCGGTATGAGATTAGTTGCGAAGGATCTGTTAAAGATACTCGTGAATGGATAACATAGAACGTCAGCATGTTTTTTGTAAAAGAGGTTTGGGATACCATCAGGTCCTAAACATTGGGATGAATTCAGTGACTGTAGACATCGGACATCAGTTTCAGTGAAACTAGGAACACAACTATTTTTTAAACCTGTGGATATAGGGAGCATCACATCAGATGACTGACGTAAAAAAGACTTATTTAAGCCACGAACATTCAGCTGGTTTTCGATTCTAATGTGCCTGCCACCTGTAAGTTCTTTAAAGAGTTTCCACACACTTGGAGAGTATTTACAAGACAAGAGTTTTTGAGTAAACATAGCGTTGAGACGTCTAATCTCTAGGTTTATTAGACCATTCAGCTTACGAACTTCAATAGAATTATTCTCCTTGTACATTCTTTCTTTCACCCTCCGTAGTCGTTTTAATTGTGAAGATTTAAGTTTATAAAAACTTACAAAAATGGTTTCATTGAGACAACAAAAATCGAAACAGAATTTAAGGCAACAAGTGATGACATCAGTAGTGTTTTCCAGTGAGTCATTCGTAAATAATTCCTAGTTAGTAGTACGAAACATGTTTTTTCGGATTTCGAATATTTTCTTCTGAGTAATTCCTTTATTTGACCTTCTTGGTTTGATGTAGGAGTGTACTCTTTCCATGCTTTCCACATACTTTAGGCAGAACACGAATTATACAGTGATCCGAGCTAGACAACGGAATACGTTTACGAGTCATATATATACCCACATCATTAATAAAAACGAAGTCTAAATGAGCATCCGAACGAGTAGAAAAATCTACTACATTTTGGTGACCTAGTGATGTAAGGAAGCTACAGTCACATGAATTGAAATCCCCACATACAACTGAAAGTGAATCACTAAAGGCAGTAACAGCGAACTCAGTGATTTCATCAGCGAAAACAGATAGCGCAGATGATATGCAGTCTGGAGTCACGTAGATCTTGGTAACATAAACATATTTGTATTTATTCCGATATTTTGGACGGCATCTTAAAGTAATTTGAAAACTTGAAACACAAAAGTAGATCGACACCAGTTTCCGTTTATAAACGTAGCTACACTGCCACCACACCTCTTTTTATTGTTTGGTCGATCCTGACGATAATTTTGAAATCACGTAGTGATACTAAGCAGTCGTCTTGTAAATCATTTAACTAAGATCCTTGAATTGTGATGACACCACAATTACGATACAAATCATTGAAAATTTGATGTCCTTATGGAATATTTACTGTTAACGTTTGCTTTAGACTTTTTCACCACCATACTTTTAAACAAAACTCAGTTCACGTATATTCTCAGGAATGGTTATTTTGTCAGAGTCAGTGGCTCCACACCTAGTATTCCGGTAACATTTTGCGCCGGTCACTTTGCCACAATGCAGTATGAACTGTATATCATACCTCGTAAAGTATTCGGGTCAATGGCTATAAACATCGTTATGATAGCAACATTACCATATTCCCATCTTTTACATCTAGGATATGACGTGGTTGAAAGATGTGAACGTTTCCTACATGTATTATTACTTATTTTCGGTCGGAATCGGCAATATACTGTATTGTGCGGTCATTGTACAATTTAATCGCTTCCAACAAAATATATAATAGGATAAGATAACGGTCGGATATATATATCAAAGATGATATAGATAGCTTATTGATGATTGAAAACTGATGGGAGAACTCTGTTCTGTATGTTTTCGACAAGCTCTACTAAACATGAGGACGAAAATCGGAAGCCATATACAGATTTTCGTCTTACTTCTACTTCCAACGGTACACCACAATATCGAGTTACTGAGTTTAACAACCTCACTGTATTACTGTAATATGACGACCAGATCAGGTTAGGACTATTGCATTACATTACTAACTTGTCGAAAGGTTTCTTACCTTCTCCTATTTTGCAGATTTTTTCACATCATTCTTGAATGAAATCACACCCAAGGTGGATGGGTTTTGTGCCAATGACGAACCTTTAAAGTGTGAACTGAATGGCCTGTTTTTAAAGTATTCGTTATAAAGCCTTTTTATGTTAGTTTATGTCATATATAATGCCTTTTGCAAAGCATTGAAGTGTTTCTAATGATGAATTTGTATTCAATCTTATCAAGAGGAACCCAAAGATGTTTATTTCATTGTAAGTAATTCAGGTTTCTGTTACCAATCTGCAGAAAATCTTTACATTACGCTTCAAATAGTCACATCATTATTGCTAAAATATAAAATTGATCGGAATCGTACCCAGTTAGGATATTGATTTATTTTCATATCGTTCAAATTTTAATGCAATGAATTTGCACTTTTATAGAGTTGGTAGTCAGATTTCTTATCTTTTAAGAAATGGCTTTCGAATTGTTCCTTAGTGCTTAAATTTTATTGTAAAATTACTAGTAAAATTGTAGCCAGTTTATTCTACAGAATTATAAAAAAGGCATGTACTACACTGATATCACTTGTGTTTTGTTCAACATATGAAAAATTATAATCGTACAAATGTAAACAGCTCATTTTGATCACAGTCTATTTAAACTGACAATATCTCAAGTTTCCTACAATAAAACGCAATGCAAAGTTAGGAAATAAAGTGAACTTATTGGATTTTGGGATTAAACATGCGTAGTATTATTCTAGTTGTTATTATCAGTTAGGAGCACCTTTCTAAAATTGTTCAATAGTCTATGGTGTATTCAAAAATGTGTGGTACTTAGTAAGCGTATGAACGCCAGAATGTCTAGTTTGATAACCATGTCAAATGTCAATCCAATTGAACAGCTGTGACTGCACCTCCAAAATGTTATTGGAAGCTGACACTTGACATGAACCAGAATTTACTTCAGATACGTTGTTTATAAATGACTTCAGGAAATCCGATTTTGAAAATCCCTGTCAAAATTAATCCCAGTAGATTACTAGATATTACAGTATTATTAAAACGCCGCTATGTACACAAAGAATATAAACTAGCGTAGCAGTATCCGAAATACGATCTGTGAGAATTATTTGTGTCACTTGGTTGTATTACCTTTTGAGTTTAGTTTAAAAATAGTAATCTGGTTGTGTGTAGTCAAATCATTTGATGAATCGTGCCAATTCTAGCAGGATGACAGAATTCAAATACGTTCAACACACTCGTTTACTCTTAGAGAACTTTCCACTTCTATTCTTGGAGTGATATACCTTACTATCTATCAAAGCGAGTGTAGTATTCAGCATTCTCTTATGTTACTCTGACTACAAGACATGTTTGTTTAAATTGAAACTCTTACTTTGAGTCTACAGAATAATTGTAGTTTTTGGTTGAAGGTATTTGATAATGACTAAGATCGATTAAAGAAGAGAAGGCACAAAAATGTCTTATCTTTCCTTAGATATTGATGACCGTATTACTTGCATTTTTGAATGTTTCTTTTTTGTTTAGATTTTCGCAGGTGCTGGTGAATTATTTTTACTCTGTAATTTCTGTTTGGTTTATAGTAGTCTGAATTACTAGTCATTTGTGCTGAGTCTCCATTGTATGTCTATAAGCAATTTTAGAAGACTACTCTCTGAATCCAAGGTCATTTTACTTTTGAAGCAGGGATATCGTAATTTCCTAAGGGTTGGGCAAATGAAAAAATGGTTTCCAGTCTAGGGTTGTGGGAATTGTTGGGTTTTTAACAAGATCCTGAACCGACCTATGTTAGACCATCATTGAAAATGTGGAGGCGTTGGACGGTCGTTTCGTCCTAGTATAAAACCCCTCAGCAGTGCGCGCCCATGATCCTCTACACCGCTACATGCCGACTCAGTCGCTTAGAGGTTAAGCGTTCGCGCGGGACTCAAGTTTCAGGGTCCGAGTCTAGCACGCGGGATCGTGGGTGCGCACTGCTGAGGGGTTTATTGATTTTATTTATTATTTATTTTAACACATAAGTATAGGTACAGGGAGGCACCAAATACATATGCTCCACACAAATCCCAATTGATTTGTGTGAGGGCCCTGGTACTGCCCGGGTGCCCAAACCGAAGCAGGTGGTTTTCTTAGGGGGCCACAACCCGAGCCTTTGACCTGAACGTCTGACCCACATGGCAGTGGAGCATCGTAAGGAGATGCAGTCCCATGGTAGCCGGTGACCAACGATTGGTTCATACGCCATTTGTTCCCGCAGGATACTGGAGCCCATGTGCACCATTGGTTTGGGGTCCGGTTAAAGCGCCGGACATTCGCTTTTCGTCCTCTCATTTTTGTAAACAACACCCCCGCCATGAGAAGGCAGTGAGTAGGACTTCCCTGGTAGAGGGGTTTCATACTGGAACGAAACGGTCGTCCGGTGCTTCTAGGTACTCAATGGTGATCCAACACTGATCAGTTCATGATTTCAATAGAAAGAAAAGTGGTTTAATGAACAACAGAAATAGACAAGTCTGTCAATCATAATAATAATTCAGGTTCAAATGTTATGGAGCTAAAGAATACCCAAATTTATTGATAATAACTTTGCAGAAATGGGATATCTTCATGCTAATAACATTTAGTTGATTCCAGACCTTCTAATATCAATGGACGCTAACATTCGTTATAATCACAGAGAACTCGAAGATACCAGGAACGAACAATATTTATCGTCTTCGGATGAAATCTATTATACCTGTACTAGACTAAGAAATCCCTTAATTCAGCTCACGAACTTGACACTTTAACGAGTGAAATACGATACATGACGTGGTCTATTGTAGCACTATTCACATCTCCGAGGCAGCTACTTGTTGAAATAACTACCATGCAAAACAAATCAGAAAGTCAGCAACTCAAATCAACAGTTGGTCTTTTGCATTTGTGCTGGTGATTATTGAACTTCCTCAAACGACCATAGCTACGTTAGTATAAGCATGTGTAAAATGCGTCATAGCCAAGCATATAAGTCCACAACTTTGACTGATATACTTAGTCTTAAAAGTGGAAGTTGAGAGTTCCACAACATGCAAAAATTGCTTCGAAATTATCATTAACAAAATATTTACAGTATTAACACCAAACGAATTGGCATAAATACCAACATGGTGACTACATGTTATAACGCTCGGTTTCCCTTGTCTACACGAATGGGACGTTAATTTGCCTTAGACAAATATCTACACGGATTCCCTCCCAATGTCTATTCTACAAGACTTCAACACAATTCAGATCAAAAACAAGTGGTTAGCCTGACTAGAATGTAAATATATTTTCACACCGAAAACCGACAACAATCAATAATAATAATGATAGAATATATAACTCACCTAATGCTTGTCAGACTAAGCAAACAACCAATCATTCTCGCCCACGTCACAGTCGCTGCAGCTGATGTAAGTTTATTTAGCGTTTCGAGCCAGAAACTTCCATCACTAACTTGAAGGTTCCATTATATTTGAGAAATGCTCCGACGACAACTATGATCGAATATTTACAGCATAAACATGGGTTTGCTCTTAGCGGCTGTATTGTCATTATAAGTCATACATAGTATATCTCCGTATACCACCTCTTTAATAGACAATCGAGTGACGTGTACGCTCAATACGTGGCTTGATTTTACGATGATCGAAAATTGCAGTATCTGTGTAGTCACTAACCCACCAAAGCTGATAAACTTGACAGGACGATCAATTTGTCCAGCTGGTCATCATTACCAAACTATGTATTGATGCGGATTATTCCTGCAGTAATGATTTGTACTTTGAATGTTAGAAACATTTTGAATAGTCTTACTGTGTTTAGATCATAATAGGGCAACTTAAAATAAACTTTACTCGTTATGAAATGTAAATCTACTTTTCTGTAATAAACTCTCGACACATCTATTTTCAGAGTGACCTCGAATTCCTGCAATTGTTTATTCGCTGAGTCAAGGTGCAGAAGTACTCCTACATTAGATTAATTTTGGAGTAAGGACAGGTGGGGATTCCCTATTGGTTTTCTTAGATGGTTGATAAGTCAACTTACCGCCCTATGTCTATAGTTGATACGTTACAGCAACAAATGGTTTTCAGGGTATAAACATTAAAGCGGTTGGGGTTATTTGTTTGTTGATTTTAAATTTCAAAAGCATCTCTGAATAAGGCTCCAATTAAGTTCCTTCTATATGTTTAAGTCACCAGCTGTAATTATTAAATCCGAGTGGTTAGGTTTTGGAAAGATATTGGGTAGCTTTCCGTAGTATTAACATTTTATTGGGTCTGAACTACAATGAACGAGCATGGGCAGGAACTACAGATCCTAGATCTTTACAGTCCTGTTTGACTGGACAAGACGATTGTAAGTGGGATACAGGCTTGGAGTGTTAACTCTGCTTTTCGATCTAACTACAGAAACACAAGTTTGGTCATATTCAAAGACACGTTAAGATTAAATCATGAAAGTTCACCGTACTGGTCAAACGAGGCTACAAGAGTAACCACATTTGGATTTCAAAAACTTCATATATATAGTGAGGGACTTAGGCTCTAACCACTGATTTTTACTGTTTGATTTAATATGAGGTTAAGGTGTCAGCTTTCAAGTAAATATATACAGCACCTCTAGTGGCCATGAAGACAATTTCATGAAGTTTAGTTATTAACCTTGATTGTATCTTCTGACGAATCTAGTGAATGGCTAGTTATATGAAAAGTTGGGATACAGGTTGATGGTAGATATATGCTTGAGCGTCGTTAGGGGTCAATACACAGCCGACATTTCCTAAATAGTAACATCGTGGAGGGATATTTGTACGGAAACTTAGGAAAGTAACTGGATAATTTTCCATAGTTGCAACAAGTTGAAAAAGCTAAAAATCACAATAAACAACAGCTTGAAGTACCACATAAAAACACTGTGTAAATGTGTGCATTTGTTTTCTCGTCGAATATATGACTTTTAAGCCCTATCAGTAGGACCGATAACCAGAGAGGTGAGGAACTCCTATTTTATGGTTGACCCTTTTAGGCTTTCGCTAGTGGAAGGGCAGAATTGCTAAGGATGGTAAATATCCATGGTGAACACTTTACCGATGCTAAACTTTTTAAAAACAGAATTTTCACTTTTACTAAATCAATGTTTTCCCATAAGCAAAATAATCAACCTACGCTTTAAACTAGATGATATAGTGGATTAGCCTAGTTAGGAAAAGTGATTGTTCATGGCTGCCAGACACTATTTTGCGTAAACAGACGTTGTCAGTCAGTCAGCTGCAACGTAGGATTAGGCACACATATGCATCGGTCCAAGTTGCCATACATCATTAACAAAAGATAGATGAACACCAAATTTATAGAAGTAGTTAATTCAGTGGGGGTAATATATAAAAGACTGCATATAAGGATATAATACAGGAAGAAAGAATTAGTTGGTAGGAAGAGAGATATAAAGCAGTTTTAATCTCATAGTTTAAGAGAAGACAGAGTGTATACACCTACACCATTGTGATCGATTCTGAGCCATGTCACCAAGTCTCCAACCATTGGTTATGATAGTCGCGCGGACCCCAACCAAGTAGTCTGCATCTACCAACATGGGTCAGACCAGAATCTAGTGACTTCAAGGATTGATGTCACGTTTTGGTTTGGTCGCCCCTAACTTTCTTCCAACGGTTTCCAGCACTAGTCGGCATTGTGTGTCGTGGTGATCGGTGTTTAGGCATACGTAACACGTGGTCCAACCATCTCAGTCAGCTACAACGTAGGACCAGGCACATATATGCAACGGTCCAAGTTGCCATACATCATTAACACAACAAGAGAGATGAACAGCGAATTCATAGAGGTAGTTAATTCAATGGTGGTAATATATAAAAGAAAGATTGCATATAAGGCGATAGTACAGGAAGAAAGAATCAGTTCGTAAAAAGAAAGATATGAAGCGATTTTAATCTCCTAGTTTAAGAGAAGACAGGGAGTGTATACACCTACACCATTGTGATCGATTTTGAGCAACCAACCACCTCAGTAGATGAAGATTTACAACTTTACCAACTAATATACCATCATCCCCCAAATGCCCTGGTACGGCTGAGAGTGGGGAGATTCCGCTCTCCCTCTCGAAATGCTCTCACATGGCCACGCGAATATAGCCTCTGACAAGGAAGTCCTACTCACTGCCTTCTCGTGGCGGGGGTGCTGTTTACGAAATCGAGAGGACGTAAAGCGAATGTCTGGCGCTTTACCCGGGTTGGTGGACATGGAGAGTCTACCTCGGGGAGTTGGAAAACACTGACTCCAAACCAATGGTCCACATGGGCTCCAGTATCCTGAAGCAACAAATGGTGTATGAACCAATCGTTGGTCACCGGCTACCATGGGGTTGCATCTCCTTACGTTGCTCCACTACCTTGTGAATCAGACCTTCAGGTCGAAGGCTCCGGGTGTCCTCCACTAAGAAAACACCTGCTTCGGTTCGGGCACATGAGCAGTATCACAGCCCCGCACAAATCAAATGAGATTTGTGTAGTGCATGTGTATTTGGTGCCTCCTTGTACCAATATCTATTTGATTTACCATCGTTCCCTAATATCCTGCGTCTAACCTCTCTATTGCTAACCCGGTGATCCCATCAGATGCAAGCAATATTTCTAAAATATCTTTGGTAAACAGACGTTGCGAAATCCGGTCACAGCAGTCTGAAATCGGTGACTAGATTTGAGGACTAACAACATAAGAACTACATTAGTAAATATATGGTAATCAAGTCCTATTTCACCGATCTGGCTTGCATATAAGCCACAATACTTGCTAACGTACCTCTGATATACAGCAGTATACAAAGATATTCACCACTGATATTACGATTAATGTAAAAAAGAATGAGGATTTGTATGACACCACACCACTAACGCGTACACAAATTTCTCAGATCCAAGTGCGCCAGATAGCGACATATTAGTTGCACAAAATTACTTCAACTCCATCAGTGAGGTGAGTTTAGGAAAACTTTTAATTAACTAACTACATGGTTAGAATCTCGGATTTGTTAATATCAAGTTTGACTAATATAGATAAGTAACACTACTAGCCATAATATGGTTAGTTATTTATCACTTAAACGTCAGTTTGAAGCACCCTTCCTGTTGGACGAACCTAGGTCGTATCATTCACTGAACCAGCAGATAAGTCATATATTTTACTGTCAGTACGGTGATGAACTTGTTTTGAAGACTGATAAATTACTTATTGGATATAAAGAACCGAGTTTTAATAAAGACTGGCAGGTGATGGCAGCAGTGACCTAATTGAAAACGTAGTTCGCACTCTCACGACACTGATTAAATCTAATCGAAAATCCGGTATTCGCAAATATCGTGAAGTCTGACAGCTTTGAATCAGTAAATTCCCCATAAGATGCCCTAATGGCTAATAAAAGATGAAACATGGACTACGGCCAAATATTAAGATTGAGTTGCGGATAAGTTAATCTATGAACTTACATGATTTTAGCTAACCGAGACTTGACGACACAACTAAGCGATTCCACACGAATATCATACCTTGAAATAAAAAGTGAAAATACACAACAACAAAATCAGTGGGATATATTTATTTTATATAAGTATTATAAGAGGATTCGAATGTGGTATGTCTTAAGTGCAGTTGAAGAACAAAGTACCCAATAGACGTAACAATAAATTGGACGCATTAAGACATAGTCGTTTAGACAACATAAATATTACTTTAACAACCTCAACAAATAACTGTTAAACTGATTATAAAAAATTAATAGTTTTACTATGCGAACAAAGTATGTTTTCGTGTGAAGATAAATCACATTGCTTGCAGAGCTCCATTTCCACATTGACGGACAGTTCGGTTAGTTACCTGACCATCTACTTCTTCCGTAATGGTTTCAGTACCATTCTCTACCACTTTTGTCACACGAACCATTTTCCCATTTACGTACTTGGACGATGTTGAAACTGACCTGAAACCACCTGCACACGAAGATCCACCAAAGCTACTGAAGATGGAGGTTGATGAAGAACCCTGGGGATTTCCGAACCCAGAATCAGTAAAAGCCATCAAAGGGCTAAACAGCGATCCACCGAACGGAGAGTCAAAAAGTCCACCCATGAAAGGGTTTGCGAGCATGGGATCATAACTCTGCACTTGACTAGAACGTCCGGCATGATGATAAGGAGATCCAGATTGTCGCCCAGCGTTGCGATGAGAGTTAGACCTGTGAGCGCGACCCAACTGAGGACCGTATTGGAAGTCATGAATACTAGGGCCAAAGAAGGAATCGAGTCCAGAGCCAGCAAAAACTTCTCTGAATATATCCATGGGATCTCGGAAGTGGAACCGCGTAAACATTGAGAAAGGATCAGAATCCTCAAATACAAACGCCTCGCCAGCATGAGGACCCCTGCCGCGTCTGTCATATATGTCACGCTTCTTAGGGTCCGACAGAACTTCATATGCCTCACTTATGAGTTTGAAGCATTTTTCTGCTTCTTCCTTTTTGTCGGGGTTCTTGTCTGGATGCCATTTAAGTGCCAGTCGGCGATACGCTTTCTTTATCTCATCACCTGAAGCAGTTTTCTCAATACCTAAAATTTTATAATAACAGGTTTGCTCCATAGCAGAATTCCCGACTGTAAGCTATCGTACGAAAATTCCAGATCAAGGTCCTAGAATGAAACTGGCGCTAAGTTAGTGGTGTCCCATTTCAAACACTTATAGAAAAAGAAGTCCTTTCAAGTAGCTTGAAGATTCAGTGCAGATCAAGAACGGTGATTATCATTAAAGATTTTCTGTTTGTCAAGCTATGGTTCAAAATGATTCATAAGAGGAAAATGGACAAATGCCTTGAGATTGTTGTTGACGGTATGGTAAATACTTTCAATCAAAGGGTTTTTGTGGTCCAGGAGGACTTACTTTAGATTCCAGTCTCAGTTGAAGAGATTTTGTAGTGGAGGAAATCTTCCAGTATAACAATGTCTGTGGTAACATTCAGTCGTCGGGTAAGTGATAGAACTGGGATTTAAAAAATCTCTATAGGAATTACTTAGACGCCTTTTAAGAGCTGTCATTCCTCTTAAGAAGTTAAAATGTTATCTTCATTTGAGTCTGGCGTATTCGGTTTTAGTGAGGTTGAGTTTTTATACACGTTATTGTGGATATTATTTACGTTAACGGTGTTATGAATCAATACGATCATAGCGCATTTGAAATCTCAGTTCATTAACCTTTAGTCCCGATCATTAGATTGTCATGTTCTCATCTCTGTGTTATCAACAGCTTATTTAACCATTAAATATAATTAAAACCGATTTGTTTACTCAGTCGACTCACTTTTTCTCCGTTTTAGTTTGCCGTATACACTGCTCTATATGCTCCATCAACACACAACATACCTTCGGACAAAACACAAGCCTACCTTAGACTGAAATTTAGGTATTGCCTCTTTTTAGTTTTCCGCATTCTGTCGGAAAAAGTAAAAAGAATTTGTATTTGTGTGAGAAGGCTATTGGATACGGAGTACAGTAATTTCATTTGCGATCCCGCAGAAATCTGAAAGGATAATTCGTTGTTTTTAATGATGGGAGTAATTAGAAGAAAAACTCCCATAGTGGTCTCCCTTAGTACTAATGAAACTAAAGTCAGTATGGAACCTTCTTTTGAATGAATTAGTATAAAGTCCTACTTTGATATGTTTCGAGGGCGAAATCCTCAACTCATAAGCATTCATCCGAAAGACTTCAACCTATATTTTTGTGCGGACTCTATCGATATGGGGTGAAAACTTGTAAATATTGAAATGAAGACCTATATTTTGGCGTTACCGACTCTAAATCGCTTAATTAATAAAATGGGCTTATCGGACTTCTCGGTCAAAAGTTTGGTCTTAATGTTGATAATAGTTTATGTTAATTCCTAATAATGTGACCTTGACAGAGTGCTATTTCGCTGAAAATTTGTTGAGTGTGAAAGACAACTGTAATGATGTCAACGTCGAAAAAAGTTCGAGGATCATTCATTTGAGTCTTTAATATTTGTCATCATACAAATATTTGGCCTACTTAAGTAACCAATTTACATTTTGAGTAGTATTCCCTCTGATTTATATAACCACACTAGTGTTTAAACAAGTCTCCATTGAGATGGTGAGGCAGAACCGAGTCTCACTTATCTTGGCTCACCGTAACTTGGTGGTCCAGCTATCCTGTCTCTTGGCCGTCTTCTAGGGTAAAATCTCACCAACCAGTTATAACCAAGCTGTTGAACATGCTGGGTTTACATGCTTATCAACGCTATATAATATTCAACTTTAGCCATGGCTGAACATGAGGAGTTACGATAGACTACCTAACGTCTAGTCATTATCATTCCAGGGAAGGTATCTTTGAAACATGATAGATAAATTGAGTAGGATTTATTATAGTTTAAATGGCCTCAGAAATATAATGTTGAAAAGATGCCTAACATTTATGTATTTCCCATTTGTTACCTGATCACTTGAGAAACAATATTAGTTTGGGTATTGTCTCGGTTTCTCTTATTTTTACCCAACTACACTTATTGTTCAGTATTATTCGACACTACTTCACTAGATAAGTCCACAAATCAGAACACGGTTGAACATAGACGTAGAAGAATTCACAAGATGATATTTGGTCATTATTTCACCCTAACAAAAGACAATAAGCCATTACTTTCTGTATTTGAGTGGAAGAAAGGAATTCCTATTCACATGGCTAATCGGCTACAACGATGAGCAACAACACTTCTGGGTTACGGTTTCACAATAAAGTGTCAGTCTACTATCGTTTTCGGGCAAGTTGACGCGTTGTCAAGATTAACAGGTCGTCAGTCAAGAACGCCAGAAGACACGTGGAGCAAATATAAGAGCTGAGAAGTCAGTTCACCGTGTATTTGACGACGCAATCGATGGACTCCCGATTACCCTCAAAGCTATCAAGAAAATCACTGAAACTGTTGAGATATTGAGTGGAGTTAAGTGTTATCTTTTTACCAAATGGCCAAACAATCGTCTTGAAGGAGAACGTTTACAATATATTCGTCAACGTGACTCACTGATGTTTGTCGACTCAGGTATTATGTTCGGTGACCGAACTGTTATTCCAGAATTATTGCGCCACAAGTTTCTCAATCCATTTCACGGTGGTCACTCTGGAATCAATATGATGAAATCGTTGGCTTTAAGTAATACTTATTGGCCTTCAGTGGACAAAGACATCGAAGACAAATGCCGCAACTGTTGTAGCGGCAAATAAATCCCCCAAATAAATAGCTCTGTAAGTTCTCGACAATGGATGCTGACCACATTAGTTTTAGGGGGCTCATCTAGCTGAAGGTGCTCAGTCATGCATCCGCACCAGATCACGTGTGAGAATGCTGTGCTCAACACCTACTGCAATCGCTAGCCAGATTAGTTCAAACGACCCTCGATATATTGATAGCCTATCAAATATATCTTCGGACCTCCTTGCTCCTGTCTTTTTGTGGTGGGTACGCTTCATGTTCGAAGGTGTTACTGGTTAAGGCGTTGTCAAACTCCGAATACCTGTGGCATCTTCACTTTCCATCATGTCTTCAAGTTGCTAAAAACCCTTCCACATGCAAACCGCGGCATTGGCCCACGCCTTCAAAAGCCTGGAAGATTTCGCCTATCCGATTCAATTTAAAATGTCTCTAATTATTATGGATGCATTTACGAAGTGGCCAGAAGTATGTAGTATGCCTAATTGTACAGCCTCAGAAATAATCCACAAGTTGCCTACTTTGCGTAGCTGTTTTGAAGTCGTAGAACTCTTAGTGACACACTCAAGAGAGTCAGATGAAGTTTCCACTGGAGTTAATATCAGATACATCAACAACATATGCGGATTGCAGTAGATTACACGTCCCGATCCCTCTCCTACTTTTTTCAATTCGGTCAAACAAATAAAATCACTGTTGAGGCGGATTACGAGAAGCCCTTCAGAGTCTCCAAAGGCCCAAAAAAAGCCAAAGAGTTTCTATCCAATCAGAACGTTGTGGAGCTTTCTAGAATATCAACCTGGCATACTACCATTGGACAGTAGCGTAGCATGCTCCTTTGTGGATTGGTCGGATCATAATGAGAATATCTACAGATACCCAACAAACACTTCTCCAGCTTTCTTTTGTTTTCTGGTTTGTGACTGTGGGGTTCTATAAGTTTGAGTGCAGTAGTTGTATACAGTGTTCTGCGTTAATCAACTAGCGAGCATAAAATTTCAAATAACAAGGTTGGATAAAAGTAGAAATCACACCAATAAAAATTTCAACGTGTTTACAATTTTTACATAAGATTTTAGAGTCGTCTCCAAGTATCTACCTGCACTAATTGGTTAGAAAATAGCAAGTCGGCGTGCCCAACACAATCCTGCACGGAAAATGATTTGATCCAATCTATATCCTGCTGAAAAGTGCACAATGATGGTTTTATTTTAGTATTCTTTTTCCGCTTCACTTCATATAACCTCCTCTTCGAGCGATTTCGTGAGAAGGTATCTGTTTATCCAATTCTTAGAGATATGATTTTTAGAAAAATTTCACTTGACATTGTATCCTGATGGAAGTATGAACCTCTTCCATAATGAAGCATTTAGATGTCCTTTTTCTCGTTCATTGGTCACCGGATAGTAAATGATGTCATATTCATTCAGTCATTAATGGTAATGGAATTATGTCGATCAAGTTGTAATATGAGCAACTTCTACGTTTAAATTTCATTCAAATTCATTGTTTAAGCACTGTCAACTGGTCCATATGTAATTCACGACACAAATATGATGAAAACCAAGTCCCATACCAGGTACTGAAAGTTCATTTTTAAATTACGTGTAATAAACACAAATATTCTATCCTAATAATGATTGTAAATCTTCATAAATAATCAGTAATTTCCATTAAATCCCCGAAATACTAGACCAAAGGTGCGGGATAAAAGCTGACTTGAAATTGAATTAGCAGCTTTTTCGTTTCAGAGACTTTGAGAGGCGTAACTCAGAACGGTCATTCTATGGTTTAAGTACCTTAGTTCGATTATGTGTTTAAAGGATAGCTTTAGTTAATAGTAGGGCTGCGTGTTTCAGAAAACGCCGAATCATGTCATTTATCGTACGTTTTTCTACTTTTCGGTTGCATAAAAATTTGTGTTACGCTTTTTAATTTTCGTTCTTTGGTTTGCAGTAGACGAGCTTAAATATTTTGTCCTTTAAGGCTGCCATAATTTTCTGTCGATTCACACAGTAGTGATACTGCGTTAAATACGTTTGAGAGTATTTCGACCGACCTAAACTGTATTTATCGACAGTCAATCCTATTTCAAAGGCCCTTGAAACGAGATGAATTCGAAAATTCCTTGAACGTTTTCCAAAGTATAAGGAAAGCGTAATTCTGAACTCATGACACCCACAAACAAAATAAGCACTCCTCTTTCCTGTGGTTCATCCCAGTAACAATGCCGTGGAGCTTCCAACTCCAACATATAGCTTGTAGAAGCTTTCTAAGTGAAATTCTTTAAAGGATTCTTTGAAGACAATATAATGTGAAAACGCAATTACAGTTTATTCACACTATTGATGTTGTACTATCTTGTCAATACTTGTAATAACAAAAGCTGTAAATATCAGCATCACTGTAGTCAGAAGACTGATGTGCTAGAAAT